AATTTTTTGTTCATCGGACATAGTAGCAGGATATTCACCAATTATAGCTTTAGATGCCTTCTGTTGAACAAAAACCCCCTTCATTTTTTGCTGCCAAACGGTGAAATCCCTTTCCATGAAAAACCCCAACTTTAAATATTTTCGTTGTCATTTGAAGTTTTTAATCAATACAAGAAAATATTTGAAGGTTAAAGTTCAGCAAAAAAAGAGCACATATTTCAAAGAGCATGTAGAGTAACACAAAGGTATCACACACATTATGAAATATCAAGAGAGAGGAAATATATCAATATGAAAAATAGTAACAAAGAACACTAACCAATTCATGAATTTACCAGGATTTTGTGAGGCTCAAAGACCTCAGGTCAAGGCTTAATTCAAGTACACAGTGGTGTGGGAGAAGGATTATGGAGTTAAGGACAATTAATCAATAATCAATCGCAAAAATAAAAAATTAGGAAAAACATGCAGGACACTTCAACAAAAAAAAAAAAAAGGATATAATCAATTTCAATACACACAATACAGAAAAATATATCACTAGTACAAATAGAAGAGGGTTAGAGACTTCGACCGGCAAATTTGAGGATTACTCAAAATACCCAAGATTTTCCAGTATGGTTTCAACAAGAAAGACCAAGATCTAGACTTATTCCTCTAAGATTCACCTACAACAAATGTATAAAAAAAAAATCCCAATATGTGTCAAGAATTAGAAACCAAAACTAAGATCTATCCGTAATCGAAACTAGGGTTTCTACCACTTGTAAGATCTCACAAGATCCGGTCGTGAAAATTGATTTTCCACAACTAGAACTCGAAGTTGGATACTCAAACAGCCTATAAGTCTCTAATACCACTATTACAAACAAGATCCAAAAAATCGACCTAACAATTTCATAACACAGACATCACAAAGGCATCAAATTCTCATCGATTTAGGCTCAAAACAAAGCATTGTACCCATCTGTACAATGTAAGGGTTCCCAAAACCACAACTCGGCAACAAGAAATCAGAGGCAGCTACTCAATGGACCCATATCTCTCCAAAACCCCAAATGATATCCTTCCAAAACAAGAAACAAGAATCACAGAGATTCAGCACAATCAAATCTAACAGAAAACCAAAGGTTTTAGGCTGGATTACAAGAATCACAAAGAAGAATAAGAAGAAATGATAGAGACACAAAGTCTTAAGAGAGAGACCCAGAAACTTCCACACACTAGACTACAAGAAGAGTCTAGAGAATATGAAAAACTATTTCTCAATCCCATTGAGTTATTGGGCAATGGCATAGGTAGTATCTGTTGGGTTAAGTAATCTCATCATGGTCCAATTAGACTGGACCAATAAATCAATTGGCATCACAGCCCAATATCTCCAATTCTTTTTCTTTTTTGTCAACGTGTATTTCTAATTAATGAAGTGGTGGCTATGGTTTTTAATTCAAAAAGTTGCTGGTGGTGATGGTTTTTGGAAATGTTGCTGCCTTTTTTTAAGATTGCTATTTAATTTAGATTATATATTTGAGATAACAAATCATAATCAGACAAGAAGTTACACCCCATACATTATTATTCATAATCGATCACAGTTAATATATAAACGGTCACAAACTTCGAATTTAAACAGGTTTTGCTACAAACATTCGTGGGTAATAGATGTCTAGTTATACATGTCACCATTTATGTAGATTTAGTAATATACAGTCACAATTAAGACAGATATGGACACAGACAATCATAATGAGGACAATATCACAATCGGTCATATTTAACACATACTTGATTACAGAAGATTATAGTTAACATATAATGGTCATAAACTTTAATGTAAACAGGGTTTGTCACAAACATTCATTTTGTCACCGTTAACAAAGACTTGGTCACATACAATCAAAATTAAGATAGATCTGATCACTGACAGTAACAATAAAGACCGACTTGATCATAATTGGTCACGGTTAACATATAAACGGTCCCAAACTTTAATGAGTTTGTTAACACAAACTTGGTTACACACAGTTACTGAACTTATTTCTCAATCACAAATTACAATAGGTCACAACTTATTTCACTTTCACAAATTATCAAATTAATTGGTAATTCTCAATCACGAAATCACAAATTGTAAATCATAATTACAAATTAATCACAAAATTGTACATTTTTATGTCACATATTATTTATTGGACATTAATTATTCGTTTTATTGGCACAATTATATAATAGTTGGTTTACAACAGCTTTTAATCCCACCCTTTCTGTCCTACCACTATTCCACCACGAATTACACCACCAAAAACACTTATTCAATAATTCGTCACATTCATTCGAACTGTTCCCAAATTTGAATAGCTAAAATTCTCAACATCACCACTTTTGTCCCCATTCATTTAAAATGTTCCTTGTTTTGATAATCAAAAGATACAGTCTGAATAAATATATTATGAATCAAGAACCCAAATGAGAATGGAACAATACTAATAAATCTAAACTGCAAAAGGTAATTATTGACTAAAATTCTGAAATTGCATTACATATGATGAAGCTCCTCTTATTTTGATAATCAAAAGATACAGTCTGAATCTCACATCAAGCAATTTAATGAATTCAAATGTTACAAATGGAGCAAGATAATTGCCAAATGAAATAAATCAATCAATAACAAGAACCCCAAAATTTTGCGTGAAAATCAAAAATGAAAAAGATCAGGGATAGAAGAAGAGAATCCATTAAATTATGAAATTGAATTGTTTTATAAAATTTAATGCGCTCATTCTAAATCTAAAAATTCCTCACAAGTTTATGTTGTTTTCACAATGTTCTCTATATTACTCAAGTCTATGAATGGGCCAAATCACGTGCAGTATATATAGAAACATATTTTTAGTGTTTTGGATGAAATAGAATATATAGGAATGTTAGTCTGGCTTGTTGGCTTAAGCTGTCCGAAACATGGCCCGAGAAAAAGCTTGAGCCGAAGTTTAGACCAAACCTCATTTTCAAGTGCTGGTCCGAGCTTGAACCGGCTCGTGTTAGCCACAATAACACGGGCCATTTGGTCCGTGTCTTAGGAATAGGCAGTTGAAATGCTGCCTTTCAAGGGGCAGCTCTACATAAGAGTTGCCTGTTAAATTTAAAACGTAGCCTACTGCCTATTGAAACAAAAAAGAAAATTAGAAATTAAGGGGAAAATGGATCCATGCTTGAAAAAGCCTGAGTCGAGACCCATTTTTCAGTCAAGCTTTGGTTCAGTTAGGGCCAAAAAAAGTTCGATCTGTTTTTACCCCAGCCACGCGCTTCGACTCAACTCAACTCGGTTCAGCTCGTTTACATTCCAAGATTACAAGAAGTAAATCAGAATCATAAAATGAGTCTTCAGCTAAAACACGTGGTGGTCGGTACTCGAGTTCCACGAATATGGTGATTGGGAGTTAAAAATCTGTCCAAGTCTTCCGTCTCATCTGTTTTGGTGCCTCAAATTCGCATAGGCACCATTTCTCCTCCCAAAACTCCGAAACCAGGTTTTCACTTTCCAAAGTCCTTTTTTCCATTCAAACTTTCAATCCAAAATAAAGTTTGATCTCTTATCCATCCGAACATTCAAACCAAAAGAACCACAACATCAAAATTAAATTACTACGTAAACTGGGAACCTAAATGGAAAATGCAAAACAACGCTTAGAAAATACAAGAAAAATATTGGATATAGACTTGGCGATTTCTTTGTTGATGCCGAAAGTAGAGCTTGTAACAATGTAGGTGAGGTCATTACTAGCTAAAATTCTCTGGAACAGCATCTTGTCGATTAAGCCCCTATTTGACAATCATTATCCAAAACTATTTTTATTTTTACATACTCATTTTCAATCACACAATAAAATTTTCTGCACGTAAATCCAAAATTTTTTCTTACTTTTTCACACATTCTCCAACTATTCAAAACTTTGTTTTTGATTTTTAAAGGCCATCAAACAAGGGCTATGTACATCCACTCCATCCCTTTGTTTTCCTACTCTTTTACTCCCTCACCAGATTTCCAGTTTTCTTTTCCCTTTCCCCTGTCCGTGTCTCTGATTCCAGTTTTAGCTTTAGGAATTTAGTGTGATGGATTTTTTATTTTTATTTTATTCTTGTCTATTTGAGTAAATTTACATAAGGTTTAAAATATAATATAATTATTATTAAAAAGTGGATATAATCTCTTATTCAATCATGATTTAAATAAGCAAGATACTTATCTATTTTCTTTTAAATAAATTAAATAATTCAACAAGAAAGAAGATTTTTGAACAAATAAGAATCCCCTTCGTGACATGATCTATTCTTCGTATAGATAGATGTAGGATCTATGGGAGAATTACTTAGAAGTATATTTTGTGCTACAATTCTTCCTATCTGATAGAAAAGGATTCCATGATCCTGAACCGATCCCCAACTCATAACCTTAATTGTCGCATACAATAAGAGGAAAAATGATAATTTTCCCTTTCCGTTGCATAGCGAAGCTTGTGATTAGAGTGGTCTCCATATTTGGTTACAAATACCCTTTTTTTATAGTTCTAGAGTATGGTGTGAGTGATTTCATCACCGTAGCACCTGATAGCCAAACATTAGCTTGAGACAATTTATTTATCCCATCATATACCTTCATGTTTTTTAACTGTGAAAACTCGAAAATTAGCATCCCATGTTTTTGGGTTATGCAAGTATTATGTGCAGACATTGCGTTTATAACATACGTTTTTCCTTCGTCTTCTTTCCAATCTTACGATGAGGCAAGGTCTAGCCATTCTTGGTCCAATCTTGTTGCTAATCAAGCCGGTGAGGGCTACTTTCTCTTATGTCGTTCCTTCCATTGTCAATATACGAATCATTTTTTGTCACTTTGTTCAGGTTGTTACTGCAAATCCGAACAAATTTGCTACTCTTATCCATCCTTACATAAAAAAAGGGGTTTTCAAAAGTAAAAAATAAAAAATAAATAAAGGAACAGATTATGTAAATAACATGCATTAATACCAAAAGGTAGCATTATGAGCTATTTAAAATGCTGATTTAACAGCAATTAGTTAACTTTAACGACATGTTAATTAAAAGTAGTTGGATTAACAGGGTATTTCTGGGCATTTTTGATGATTTTTGTGAGAGCAGCCTGGCCAAGATCAACTCCACAAACATCAGCCAATTGCAATAAGTAAAGGAAAACATCAGAGAGTTCCTCTTCAACATGTTGTTTCTCATCAGAAGTCCAATCGGGGAGTCCTTTTGCTACTTCTCCTTTCCATTGGAATATTTCAGATAGCTCTCCCACTTCTCCAACCTGTGAGATATTTGCAAGCTTCAAAATTAGGTCCATTAGGTCCGCCCGTGGCACTGGACAGCCCATGACAGACTTAAGAGAGAACTAGGAATATGTTCCCAAACCTTAAATTGTTAATTAGGGTCCTTATGCGATTGAAGTTGTCAATGTAGACGTTAAAATCGTACACGACTCTCAATTGATCAACTGAAAAGAAATGTTGAGTGGTTCCAATTTTAAGTCACATGAGGGCCTAGGTTTATATATTTAATAAGTTGAAGAACTAGAACCTTTCTTTTGAAGATTTGTCATCCATAATCACACCACGTGAACAGTTTGAGAGCTCAACCCTAATTTTCTTTAGAACGAATAAAGAAAAATCAATAATTATACTTGTACAAAGTTTCCTTACAAAGTTGGTTGACAAAAGATATGTTGACAAAATCCAAGCCATTGATTTCAAATGATTTAAAAACCTATTTTTGAAATGATTGGTGAAAATGTTATTTTGTCAACCTACTTTGGAAACCATATTTGTAAGTGTAGCACAATTCAAGAAAAATAAGTTAAAAGCTTATATGTTGTATTGTTTAATAATGTTAGACACGATAGTATAAGGCATAGTCCGTCGGCTCTATTTTACTGCTCATTATGTAAATGTTGAACACTTTATATAAGCAAATATAGTATTACATACCAGAGCCAGAAGGAGATTTCTAGGACTGTGATATTGTTCCCAACCCCTAGCTCTTGCAAATTCTTGCAGGCTATCTCTCAGTTCTTGCAAGGAAACATCCTTAACTTTCTTAGGACATACATGGGAATTCTCCATTCTCTCTTTTTCTATATACGGTTCTTTCTTTCTTAGTTATGTTTTCACCTGCTTCATGCACATGGTCTCCTATTTATAGACAAAAAGGTACGGATAGGATATAAAGCATTTACATTTAGATAAACGAAGAACTTATTTATTTGTCTTTTTTTTTTTTTTTTAATCGAAAAATGGTCATTGAGATATTTTTCAAGGCAAAAGTTTAACAATGTGAAATTTCTTATAATAAATTAAAGATTTGACTTGTAAGATGAAATTTTATAAATATATGAAGGCGAGATTTGAAGGTAGGATTGTTCACACATCTCTTAATAGTCTCATTCAAAAGAAAGGTTCATGCTTGATTACGATGGTTGCACCTTAAGCAATGACCAATTTTATGTACATATTCTTTTAACCAACTGAAGATCACATAATTTATCGAAATTTATATAAGTTCCATCGCGCTAGACCACATTACCATGAAGGCTCTACCATCTTGTTAACGGTAACTGAATCTATCGTTATTGCGATTAATTGGGGTCCACATTTTATTTGAATCTTCGACGTATGTTTAAAATTCAACTTCGACATACAACCTATTCATTGTCGCTAAAGATTTTATCTTAAAATGTTAATCTATTAGGTGAAGTAGTTTAATCCCCTTATAAACTCATGAGCATTCAATTCGCAGCCAATGAAGAACTTTTTGTTTTCAGAATCATCACAATATCAAAAGATTCAACTGTTGAAAGATATATATATATATATATAATACTATGTCTACACAATGGTGTACACACAGTATTACCCGCCTCACATGGAAGTGGGTCCACATACAATAAAATATTAATAGGCACCTCTCCATGTAAAAGGGCGTAATCCGTTATGTACACCATAAAGTGTACAAATAGAATTACCCTTTATATTTTATCTTCGACAAGTGAACGGAATTTTTCTTCCCTGTGGGGTCCATGTAGGCGCACCTTGATGTGAAGTATTAAAAATGTGTTTCTATATTTTTATGCATGACTTGAAATCACTCACTCCCACTTGCTTATCCAGGCTTCTTGTTGGCCTAATCCGTAAGCTTTTTGAGGGGGGAAATATAGCCCTTGTTTGAACCCTTTTTTTTAAAAAAAATACATTTTTAAACAATATTTTGACATCATTTCAACCTCACATTTTTCAATAAAATAATATTACACGAAAATTTAAAATTTTTTCATATTTTTTAACCACACATTTTACATCATTATACTATTTAAAAATACATTTTCTTGATAAAAATAGGGCTCAAACAAGGGCATAGACATTATGGATTCATTGTGGACAAGCCAGCACCGTTGAATCAACCATCCCATGATCAAAATACGTGTTTTGCAGTTCTGATATGGACAATTGTCGGCCTCTGGTGCCATATATCTCACCTATGATATGGATCCAACGTGCCGCATGTCATGTCGTACTTTTCTTATATTAATTATTTAAATTTCTAACATTTGTGGAATACTTTAAAAAATTCCTCGAGCCGGTGTCCGACATGACACATCGTGCACCATATCTTAAAAGGTGTAAAAATAAATGTATCCCCAATTTGTTTGTATCTTAATTTTTAGAACAACTTTGTATCTCCATGTCCATGTAAAGTGTTCATACCATAAAACTTAGGTGAATTGAATTGTTAATATTTTCCATGAAAAATATATTTTTTCACTAAATTTTTATTTTTGTACTTTTTGATTGACATTTTTTCTATAAAAAATATTTTTCTACTTTTGATTATTTGATCATATTTTTCTATATTTTTTTCAAAATTAAGAAAAATATTTTTTTTAGTGGGAGTGAGATTTTATTTTTCAGATAATTCACTTTTTCTTTCTTTCTCTCTCTCATCTATCCCCTCTCATCAAAGGCAGACCCACATGGGGTCATGTGGGGTCAGATGACCCCACAAGATTTTGGAATTTTTCCCCCTTCAGAAAATAGTTGTTTTAATTCGTCTTCGATTCACTTTAATACATATCAAATGAAATTGAAATATTGCATTTTTAATATCATTTCTAAACGCTCATGGCCTAGTTTTTCGCTTCTTAATGGTGTGCGAAATGATCAACCATAGCAAAAGATACGATGTTTCAAAGTAGGTCGTTCCAAATTAGTATTTCGAAAATTTTGATAATATGCTAACTTTTAAAATTTGCCAATGATCATATACTATCCAAATCTCCAAATCGCTTGCATCATCTAGAAGTTCGTTATGAAAACTACATCGTAGTTATATCGAATGGTCCAAACAGATTCGAAAATAGTTAAATATGCATCAAACGTATGTATTAAAAGAGGCGTTTAACTCGTCATTTTAAAAAAAATCAATTATTTCATTAACGTTTATTATTTTTTCACGATAAATTTTTCAATATAATTTACATCATTTTATTAGAAAATTTTACATTAAATATGATGTCAAAAATTCTAAAATCATTACGGATTAAATGTAATTTGAATTACTTTCAAATTATTTTTTTGTTAAATTTAAATTTCATTTACTTCTTACACCCAATTTGATTTACTTTTCGTTAGCTTAACATCCATAAATGACATAGTAAACAAAACTATACATGTAGCAAAATTCATTTAACAATATTGATAATGATAGAATTATAAGACACTTTCAAAATGTCAAAATGCGTATTAATTTATTTTTATAAATATTATATTGTTTATAAAAAATTACACATTAATTTTTGCAGCTAAGCACAACCCGTAAGGATGAATTCGCAAATGTTCGCACCCTCACATGCCCAGAGGGGCCCCCGTGAATAAGATAATCCCGATCTCATGTGTGTGTGTTGTGTCAATCCCGCGATCATTCATATGGGCACTGTAGCACGACTCTAATTTTTTACCCCACAACCGAAAACAGTTGGGTCCGCCCGTGCCTCTCATCTACTCATCAATAAAAAAATAGACAAGTATAATATTTTCTATATTGAAAATTAAATAATTCCAACACATTGCCATCAAACGCACCCAAGCAATGTTAAATATTATTATACAAGAAAAGGAAAAGTATATTTCATTCATTTTTTGGTGTTTGACTGAACTTAAAAAGCTCGCTTAGTAGTAAATATATATGTTTTATAATCAAAATTATTTCGTTGATTAGATCAAAATAAGTTATAAAAATTAGGTAATAGTATAATAATAAAATAACTATTTTTTTTTTCTGGGAATAATAGTGAAAAGTAAGTTTTACTTTATTAACATTAACCAAACATGTTTTTATTCTTACAATGAGCATTCAAATAATTCAACATACCAAACTTATCAAATTTTACATACCCACCGAGAGAATCAACATGTTTTTTAATCTTTGTTAATAAACTTGGTCACTGATATTTTCACATAAATGAGGGATAGATGGAACAATGTTAAAGAAGGAAAAGTATTTAACGTTAGATTTGTTTTATTGCTAATATTGTGTATCAACTATAACCTTAAAGTCGGAAAAATAATCCTCTAGTGTCAATTTTACTAGTTTTCATCAAAACCGTTGCGGTATTTTAGCATGAAAACTTATGCCATACGGTTTCTAAAAGGGTGTATTGGCATTTTCATTGAGTATTGAACGTCGGGGTAAAGTATTGAAAGAGAGAAAAAATTAAAATCTTATATATTGTACTCTATGATTCTATCTTGTATCGGGTACCAAACATAATGCTACGAACAGGAGAAGCAGAAATAGGACTACTAAACTTTTGATCAACATCTACTTAACCATGCGTATTTCTTAGACCACCTATGACCTATTCAATCATTGCCCAAATAGAAAGAAGAAAAGTGGATCCCAATATTCTCATCCCATTGCACCATTTTTCTTGTGCTAATACAATCAAGAAGACGGTAAGAGACAAAGAACATGTTGGGGAAAACACAGTTTTAAGAATCAGTATTGAGGATCACTATCCCCCTTTATTGGTGCACTAGAGAATTCTATCATTGTCCAAATAGAAAGAAAAGTGGATCCCAATCTTCTCATTCTATTGCATCATTTTATACTAAATTTTACATCAAACTAAAAATCATCTCTAATCCATTATATCAAATGAACAGTATATAATTATTTTCTTCATTTTTTTTCATTCATAATGATTTATTTATATGAAAAATTATTTATTTAATTTAATTTACTACATAAATTATTAAATAAATAATTACATTTCGTTAACGAAATTATTGAATTTATTAATAAATTATATGAATGTACCACAATTAATTAAAAAAAATCAAAACTAAGAAAATATTTAATATTATTAATAATAATTAAAATATTAATAATCATATTATTAAAAAATAATAATGATAATTATTAATTAAGAATTAAAATATGTTGTTTAACAAGAAAGTGACACAATTACCCTTAACAAAAATAGTGGTACAAAATTATTCATTTGCGCAACATTTGGTGATAGGTTGGAATGAGATTATACCAAATATTTGGTTCAAAATCGGAAAAAATGGGGATTTGGTGCAAGGGATGGAATTGTTATAATACAATCAAGAAGATCGTAAAAGAAAGAACATGTTTGAGAAAAAGGCAGTTTTAAGACTCAGACTTGAGGATCACTATCTCCACTTTATAGGTGCACTAGAGAATTCTCCATTGAGAAGTTTCATAAAATTCTCAAAACAAACGAAAAAGAAACGAAAATTGAGACATAAATTAAAGATTAACGAAGCTCCTCGGGGACCTAACATGTTGCGTGAAACAAACCTTGGACAATCATATGGTGGTCTAGAAAATTTTGACAAAGATGTCTTCTACACCTAGTTTTATTGAATTTTTAGCTATAATATTGGTATTATATTCCAATAATTTTACAATGATGAAAAAACTTTATAAGAAAATATTTTTAATTGAACTGATAATTCCATAATAGTTGTACAAATGCATTATCAAACATATAATACAAAGAAATCCATGTTATGAACCTCATAATTCTCGATGTTTAATAAATGTTCTAAAATTCGTAATAC